GTTATTTTTAATCAAATATTTTGTTGCTTTACACTTAAAGTCTCATTATTTAGACAAATGAATTCCGTAATTTCGTGGACGAGAGTTATTTGAAAACACGAGTCAATAATAAAACAAAATTCGTATGGGACTATCTGAACATTCTGTAAGAATCAAGGATCATTTTAATAAATATTTTTCTTCGACTTTTCTCGTGCTCAATTTTTTTCTTTTCTTAGCTCGAGTCGTTTGAACGAGACAACGACCTCACAAATTACAATTTGTCCGAATTTGGATATCGCGAAATATTTTTTACCCCTCTGACCCGTAGTCTTTTTCTGGCACACACCGGGAGATGAATATTTATTTGTAGGTATATTGCGTTTTAAATTTTTTGATAACATTTTTTTTTCAACAAAATTGTAATGTACCGGATGTGCCTTCACCTAGCGGTGAGAAATATTTGTTTGCTTCAACAGAAGATCGTAATCGAGAAAAAAAAGATGGCGAAGACCGTAATTTTGGCCGCAAAATCGATATTATATGGTCTATGAAGCCAACCGATCTGGAATTCTCTATTGGAGAAATCAGTGGCCCACCGAACCAACTCGATCATTCACATTTCTTTAACGATAAGATTAAAATTGCGAAAATGTTAAAAGTTATTATAAATAGGATTGTGAAGAAGTATGGTGGAACGGGCATGGATTTGAGTTTAGTAAAGTTGTATGGCCTACATGTGTATTGTAAGTATTGCTAACTTTGAAAATTGTCAATATTATATATAAAACTGACATTCTCTTCTTACAGATAATGAAGTAGTTGTGTACGAGATGTCGATTCCGTTTCGCGGATTGTACATTTTTTGTGAAGTTATGCTATCGAAATTGCCCACGAATGAAGTTGAGATCGGTTTGTTATTACGATCTGTGTCGGTGTTCCTTAAATTCAAGGTTTGTTTTTACTGACGCACGCACGTTTATTAATTATAAATAAAGGAATCTTTTGCCTTTTACAAACTTTCAATTGTTGTCATTAGGAATTGCTTGGAAAAAGTTTAGCCGACCTGAGAAAATATATTCAGGATGCGTGTACCCGTACACCCGATAATAATGAAAATGCACACCTGTTCATTACACTAACTGATTTGACGCCCGAAAAAAAGAAAGTACAACTAGTAGACGGAAAAAAAAGAAAGTGACCTTGACATTCTGTCAAAATGTTTTTAATAAATCATTTAATGAGAACGTTTTCTAATACTGCATAAGTAATTTAAATGTGTATTGACATTGTCAAATTGTAATGCGATCATATAAACGTTTTGGATCATTACATAGTATGCATCAAAATAATGATAAAGATCGTGAAAATGGTTACCGTAATTTTCCATGCAAGGTACCCGGGTACGCTAAATTTCACGTGATAAAAATTTGATTTGTACCCCCCGGGTACGTTGTATGGTAGAGGGTACGTTATTTGGGGGGTACTTTGTAAGAAGGGTATGTTACTGGTAAGCAGAAATGATTTTTAATATATAGTATTGATATAACGATAGATATCTTGGTTCTTGCCTTATGTTTTGAATCCTTGCTTTATGTTTTATAAGTTTTTTTTACACTACATATCGATATAGTACTTTTTAAGGTTCTATAATATGATAACTATATATACCAGTAATATGAATTATGAAGGGGGTTAAGCATATATTTTTTTTGTAAAATTTTTCGTGCAAAAAAATTTTTTTTTTTAATTTTTTTTTTTTTTTTTCGTGAAATTTTTTTTTCGCGGTTGTTTTTTTTTTTTTATAAGGTGTAAATACAGTATATAAGACTATAAAACTTTATTTCTAAGCTTTTTTTAAATTGTATTTCTTTCGTACACTACTAGAATAAAAACTTATACCTTTTTTTAATAAAAACTTAACATTTGATTATGGTACGCTTAGAAAATATTTTTGCAACTAGACTTCAACAAAAAAAAACTCGGCAGTGGACAGCCCGGGAAAAACTTTTTATAATTTCTTACCTTGAAAATGTTCCTGGAGCTTCTGTACGTGGAACCGCTGATAAATTCCAAATCCAACCCAAGCAAATTCAAGATTGGAGAAATAAGCGGCAAGAGTTATTATTAACTCAACCTCATGTTAAGTGTCTTAATAGTGGTTCTCGACCAAATTTTCCTGAGCTTGAAGCAGAGCTTGCAGAATGGGTTCAAGTTTTACGTGCTAATTTGAAACAAGTTAGTCGTATTATGGTGCGAACTAAAGCTATAGCATTAGCAAAGTCGCCAAAATATATTCTTCAATATTCTAATATTAATGAGTTCAAGTGGAGTA